AGTATTGTTGAAAATCAGTTGATTATATAAATGTGGCTCTACCTTTGTGCTTTATTCTGTTCCATTGATACCTTTGTTAATTTTAAGCCTCCACCATAAAATCTCAATCCATTTACACTTCTAGATGAGAAGCAAGTATCTAAAAAGATCAAACTGTTACCTAGTAACTCAACTATATTCCATAACGAAAGCTAACAATTTTTAAAAGAACACAAAATATTAGTCATCCAACACTATAGAATCCACAATGCCTGGCATCCAGCCAAAAATTGCAGCTTGCAAAGAAGGAGATAAATATCACCTGTAATCAGGAGAAAAATCAGTCAATGGAAACAAACCCAGAACCACGCAGATAATAAGGTTATCAGAAAGGGTGTTAAAACAGTAATTATGAAACAAATTCCATATATTTAGAAAATTGAAAGTGAAGGGAAAAGTGGGAAATATTTGAATACACAATGATAAATTAGATATGCCCACACTCACCACTTCTTTTCAGCATAGCACTGGAAGTCCTAGCCACAGCAATCAGGAATTAGAGATAAAAAGGACCTGAACAGGCAAGGAAGAAGGGAAGTTATATATAGAAAATCCTAAATATCTCATCAAAAAGCTGTTAAAAACTTCTGAATTAGGGGCACATTTAAGCAACTTATGTATTGTGTTTATTTGAGGGGGGTGAAGAGAGAGATATAGAGGTAGCTCCCATCTGATGGTTCACTCCTCAAAGGTTCACTCCTGTAACAGCCGAAGCTGGACTAGGCAGAAGCCAGGAGACCAGACCTCAACCCAGATCTCCCCCATGGATGGCAGGGACCCAACTACACGAACCATCACCTGCTGCCTACCAGAAGAGCCAGGACCTGAATCCAAGCACTCAGATATGGGGAATCTAAGAATGCTGAATTCATGCAAGTAGAGAGTGGAATTATGTCAGCAGACTCTCAGGAGGGGGTTGCGTGGTGACAGGGAAAGTGGGAAAGGAGAGTTGCCGATACAGGGTGCAAAGTTTCAGATAGATGGGGGATGGGAATAGGTTTTGAGATCTATTGCACAACAGGGTGATGATAGTCAAAAGCTATGGTAATCAATTTGATTTAATCATGTTGAATTGTGTACATAAACATATACAATTTTGATCGAGTGATTAAGATGCCTACATGCACACTGCAGTGCCTAGATTTGACTCCTGACTCCAGTTTCCTGCTAGTGCTCACCCTGGGAGGCAGCAGTAAAGGCTCAAGAGCTGACCTCCTGCTACCCACATGGAAGACCTGGATTGGCTTCTAAGCTCCCAGTTCCAGTCCGGCCTCACCTGGCCATTGCAGGCTTTTTGGGGAATAAACCAACAGATGGGAGCTCTCTCTCTGCCTCTCAAATAAATAATAATAAAAGCATTTCATTGTTGAAATAAATTATACATAAGCACACATACTTTTTATTTTATAATCAAATAAAATTAATAATATGTTTTAAAATGATAATAAGGTAATATGAACAACATTATGGCAATAAATTTGACAACCTAGATCAGTTGTTGACAAAGTATGGCTCTGGGTCAAATGTAATTGGTGACCTGTTTTTGCAAATAAAATTTTATTAGAACACAGACAAACCTATTTGTTTACGTTCTATTTATGCCTGTTTTTGTGCTACCTCGGCACAGGTGAATACCTATGAGAGGCTAAATTGACAGAAAAGCTTGAAATAATTATGTAGCCTTTTGCAGAAAAAGTTAGCTGACCTCTGACTTAAATGACAAGAACAAGTTCATTGAAAGACACTACTAAAGTTCACTCAAGGAAAAATAGTCTGAATATCCCACTAGCCACTAAAGAAATTGATTTTTTAAAAATACTTATTTATTTGAGAGAGAGAGAGAGAGAGGTCTTCCATCCATTGGTTCACTCCACAAATGGCTGCAATGGTTGGAGCAGAGCCCATCCAAAGCCAGGAGCCAAGAGCTTTCTCCAGGTCTTTCATGCAGGTGTAGGGGCCAAGGACTTGGGCCATCTTCTGCTTTCCCAGGCCATAGCAGAGAGTGAGATTGGAAGTGGAGTAGCTGGGACTTGAGCCAGCACCCATATGGGATGCTGGCACTGCAGGTGGCCGCTTTACCAGCTATGCCACAGTGGCAGCCCCAAGAAATTGATTTTTAAAGGTGTATTTATTTATTTAAAAGGCCATTACAGAGAGGGAGAGAAAAAAAGAGGGAGAGAGAGTGAGAGAGGGATCTTCCATCTGCTGGTTCACTCTCCAAATGGCCACAATGGCCCAGGCTGGGCCCCACTGAACCCAGGGACCAGGAACTCCATCCAGTCTCCCAGGTGAGTGGCAGAGGCCCAAGCACTTGGGCCATCTTCTGCTGCTTTCCCAGGCCATTAGCAGGGAGCCGGATCGGAAGTGGAGCAGCCAGGGACTCCAACCCGTTTTCATATGGGACATCTGCTTCTCAGGTGGTGACTTAACCTGCTGTGCCACAACACCAGCCCCAAGAAATTAATTTAGTAGTTATGGTCTTTTTCAGGGCAAACTGTGAGCTCTGGTAGCTTCGCTGGTAAAACCACTGCATTCTTTACATTTTTATTGACTGTTTTTCCAGTGTAGGATGTCGGTACTGTGTTGAATAGAGTTGGTGAAATCAGACATCCTTGTTCCTAATCTGACTGGGATAACTTTAATGCTCCACCTGAAGTATGTTACTAGTTTTTTAGAAACTATCATTTAGTTGAGAATGTTTCTGTTGTTTTTGCATAATACATTTTTTAAGAATGAGTCTTGAATTTTTTTTTTTTTGGTGCTTTATTTCTGCTTTAAGTTGGCAGGATCAATTTTTGTTTTGTTTTGTTGATATGGTAAGTTACACTGATTGATTTTGGAATGTTAAGCCAAAGTTACACATTCTAGAATAAACTACATGGTGTCATAATGACTTATATTTTTGAATATATTTTTATAGACTAAGTTTGCTGGCATTTTATTAAATATTTTAGCATCTGTATTCAAGAAGATTTGTGTTTGTGATTTTCTTTTAATTTCTTTATTTGAAAGGCAAGGAGATACACACACACACACATATGCACACACACAAGGACAGAGAGAGATCTTCCATCTATAGGTTCATTCTCCAAATGCTTGCAACGTCTGGGAATGGGCCAGACTGAAGCCAGGAGGCATCAGCTCAATGCTGGTCTTTTACACGGGTGGCAAGGACTGAGGACTTGAGCCATCACCTGCTGCCTCCTCAGGCAAGCATTAGCAAGACACTGGAACTAGAAACAGAAAGGGACTCAAACCCAGGTGTTCTGATATGAGATGCAGATGTCCCAAGTAGCGTCTTAACCACTGTGTCCCTCCGCTGGTTCACTCCCCAGTTGGCCGAAATGGCCAGAGCTGTGCCAATCGGAAGCCAGGAGCCAGGAGCTTCCACTGGGTCTCCCACATGGTTGCAGGCCCAAGGACCTGGGCCGTCTTGCACTGCTCTCCCAGGCCATAGCAGAGAGCCAGATCAGCCAGGTCTCAAACCAGTGCCCATATGGGATGCCGGCACCTTAGGCCAGGGCATTTACCCATTGCGCCACAGCGCCGACCCCCCCTCCCCCTTCATTCTTGATATCCGTAATTTGTGTTCTGTTTCTTCAAAACCCTTTAAACTTTTTAATGATTATTTCCTTTTTAATTTTGTTCTTGTCAAACAGCTGTTTAGGAGAGGCTTTTTTTTGAAACTTTATTGAGATATAGTTGAGAAATAAAAATGATAGCTATTTAATGCCTACAGCTTGATGTTTTGATTTATGAGTATGCACACACTGTGAAGGAATCGCAAACAAGCTAGTCAGCATAGCCATCAGCACACATTTCCTTTCATTGCTTTTTTTCACATGTAAGTGTTTTCACACACTGTCTTCCTGTGTTTGGTTTATATATAATGTTCTTCAGAATTATCAGTATTATTGCAAATGGAAAATCTCCTTTTTAATATGTAAAAATTAATAAAATTAATTAATTTATTCATTTGAAAGGCAGAGCAACATGGGGGTGATGAGGGAAAAGAGAGAAAGAGTGAGAGAGAGAGAAACGTGAGAGTGAGCTTTCAACCACTGGTTAACTGTCAAAATGGCTGCAAGAGCCAGGCTTGGGTCACGCTGAAGCCAGAGCCAGTAACTCCATCCAGGTCTCCAACGTGGGTGGCAAGGACTCAAGTACTTGAGACATCATTGCTGCTTCCCAGGAACATAAGCAGGGAGCTGGGTTAGGAGTGGAGCCGGGACTTGAACTGGCGCTCCAGTTTGGAACACAGGTGTCCAAAGTGGCAGCCTAACCTGCTGTGCCACATTTCTGCCCCAGATTTCCTTTGTTTAAAAGGCTAAATAATATTTTATTGTACTTAGGCCACATTTTTAAACCCATTTATGGACATTTAAGTTATTTCCATATTTTAGCTATTGAAAATAGGGTGCAATAAATATGGGCATGCAGATAGCTCCTGGAGATAATGAGTTCATTTCCTTTGGACATGTACTGAAAAAGGGGTGGCTGGATCATGTGGTAGTTCTATTCTGAAGTTTTTGTGCTATCTCCGTATCGATTGACACAATTACTGAACCAATTTACATTTCCACAGTTGTGCTACATTTCTATACCTCCTCTCCAACAATTCTCTTTTGTCTTTTTGATAGTAGCCATTCTAACAGCTGTGAGGGTTATCCCATTTGATTTGAATTTTCTCCAAGAGGCCCTGTCTATTAATATCTTCACACTGGCAATTAAGTTTCAACATATAAACAATCAGACCATAGAACTACCCAAAGTGATCTACAGAGTCAGTGCGATCTTTACCGAAATCCCAAAGGCATTCTTTATTAAAATAGAAAAAAACTCCTAAAATTCATATGGAAGCACAAAAGACCCTAAATAGCCAAAGGACAAAACTGGAGGTGTCATACTTCCTAATTCCAAAATATTACAAAGCTGACCAAAACAATATGATACACACAAGAAAACAGATTGGAAGACCTGGAAATAAATCCTTATATTTGCATTCAACTGATTTCCAGGAAGAATGTGAAGAAAACACAATGGACAGAGGATTAATAGTCAGGAACCACTTTCATTTTTATTTAGTTTTCTTAATGAAAATTGCAGAACTTGAGAGCAATTTTTGTTTGCTAAATACAATTAGATGGGGGTGAGGATTCAGTTTAATATCAATTGCGTGAGTAGCTAGAGACTCTGGTGGAACCAAAAAAAATTAACAATATAGAATATGGACAGCCCCACAATTTGAATCATTTCCGGAAAAATGACTTCTGCCTTTGTCAAGTTTCCTGCTAGCAGTTCAGTGATGGGACTGTTTCTTCACACTTCTGTAATTTAACTCTGTCCACTGAATGTGAAAGAGGCTGCATGGAGATGGCTGACAGTGTCATTTATTCCATATTAGAGCTGTCTACTGGAACTCAAGCCCAGAGTGGCGACAGACCGCAGCAAAAAGGTGAGTCAACCAAGTTATTATGGAAAACTAGGGTTACGGATGAATGGGGAGCTGAGTAAGTTTGGGATAGAGGGTACAGAAGCAGTGAGGATGATTTGAAGAAATATTTTTTGTCAAGTTTGAAGTCAAGAATTACAATATGAAAACCAGGTGTATGGTACAGGATCTGATCAGAGGTCTCGGGGAAATTCTTTCCTAAACGTTGCTTTCTTTGATCTCACTTAAGAAAGCCAAGCTAGAGCAATGCTGTTGTTTATTGTTACTGAACTGATATAAGAACTTGCTTGGGATGACTTTATTAATCTCTTTAGTCATGTTCGCAGTAATCTTTGGCTGTTTAAATTCAAGTTATTTACTTTTTTCTGACTATGAAGTGAGGGGAATGCCAACAATTTTGCTAATGGATAATGGTAGGCTTTTGTCAGGAAAGAGACTAATTCACATATCTGGGAGTTTTAACCTCCAGTGTTGAGTCGAGGAAGAAAATACATGAAGAACACTACACATAAGTTGTCCCTGAGGCTCTTTTGAGATTTGAAGACAAAAAAACAAAAACAAAAACAAAAGCTATTTTTACACAGAGCCTTGAGAGAATGCTATCTCAGAGAGGTACATAATAGTGTAAATGGGAAAATTAATACTTGATTTTGTATTTGAGACAGTAAACTCCCAGAAGGTCCCTCCATAAGCCTTCCCCCTCTCTCTTTTTCTTTTTTTGCTACGTAGTCTTATTATAGTTTCTAATGGTTTTATGGCTACATAGTCTATTAATATAGTTTCTAATGGTTTCTTTTTCTTTTTGGCTACATAGTCTTATTAATATGGTTTCTAATTTCCATAGTTGGCTAAATCATTCCAGTATACTTGAGCATTTAGATTTATTTTTGTTACTATAAATTATAAAGCATTGAAAATCTTTACTTGTATAATTTTTTTTCTTTTCTATTGAATCTGTGCTAATTTCTAAGGAATAGAAACATTACATCAACAGCAATGTACGTCTTAAAGCATCAAGTGAGAGTCACACAACGGGTGATAAGTCGGAACTTGATAGTTCAAGTGCAAAAATAACTTTACTCACTTTCTTGAACTGGGTAGTGGTTAAACAGATATCATTATATTTTGATACCATTCTTTCCTTTAGCATAATATTGGAAATAACATACCTATTTAATTAAATGGTCTTTCACAGTGCAATTATATTTTTTTATGTCACTAGAAATCTTTTTATATTCATTAGTTCAAATATTTGTCATGCAGAACTCTCTTCTCATAAAGACATCTCTCATGATAAATTTCTTTTTTTTTTAAAGATTTATTTATTTTACTTGAAAGTCAGAGTTACACAAAGCGACGAGAGGCAGAGAGAGAGAGAGATAGAGAGAGAGAGAGAGAGGTCCTCCATCCGCTGGTTCACTCCCCAATTGGCCGCAATGGCCAGAGCTGCGCCGATCTGAAGCCAGGAGCCAGGAGCTTCCTTTGGGCCTCCCACGTAGGGGCAGAGGCCCAAGGACCTGGGCCATCCTCCACTGCTTTCCCAGGCCACAGCAGAGAGCTGGATCAGAAGAGGAACAGCTGGATCTCGAACCGGTGCCCATATGGGATGCTGGCGCTTCAGGCCAGGGCATTAACCTGCTGTGCCACAGTGCCGGCTCCAGTATAAATTTCTTTTAAGAAGTTCAGACTATGTCACAAATACACACATATTTACAGAATAATTTATCTAAAATTTAAATAGGAAAATGAGGCCCAAGTAGGCAAAATTAATTTCCTAGCTAAAGTGTGCCAAACAAAGGAATCAAAATCTGGATTTAAATCTTATTTTATAGGTTTTTTTGTTTGTTTTATTATTTCTATATTATCAGATTGTGAGACATCTATGATTTTGAAATAAAAGTTTGGGGAAAATACTACCATTTTCAACTGTAAAAATCAGCATTCTTAGATATAGGTTGTATACAACATAGTTAAGTTGAAGATTCATGTATTTATTTGAAAGGCAGAGTTACAGAGAGGCAGAGGCAGCAAAAGAGAGAGAGAGGTCTTCCATCCACTGGTTCACGCCCCAATTGACTGCAATGGCCGGAGCTGAGTCGATCTGAAGTCGGGAGCTAGGAGCTGCTTCTGGGTCTCCCACATGGGTGCAGGGGCCCGGACACTTTGGCCATCTCCTGCTGCTTTCCCAGGCGCATCACAGGGAGCTGGATTGGAAATGGAGCAGCCGGGACTCAAACTGGTGCCCATTGTTGGCTTTACCTGCTATGCCACAGTGCAGGCCCCACAACATAGTTAATTTGAAATAACATTCCATCCATAAACATGACCTTAACCTAAACTCATTCTTCTTCCAAAAACAAAGCAAAAAGAATCTTCTAATCTATTTAAGATATAGGCTACTTTATTTTCATTTAAATTTTATTATCTACTTTAAGTAGGTAATATATTCCCATCACTCAAATTCTAAATGTAGAGAAAAAAACACAAACAGTAAAATTATCCCCCTTCGGGGCCAGTGCTGTGGCGTAGCGGTTAAAGCCTACGCCTGATCCAGCTCTCTGGTATGGCCTGGGAAAGCAGTAGAAGATGGCCCATGTCCTTGGGCTCCTGCACCTGCGTGGGAGACTTGGAAGAAGCTTCTTGCTCCTGGCTTTGGATCGGCCCAGCTGCAGCCATAGTGGCTATTTGGGGAGTGAACCAGCAGATGGAAGACCTCTCTCTCTCTCTGCAACTCTGCCTTTCAAATAAACAAATAAATCTTTAAAAAAAAAAAAGAATCCCCCCCCATCCCTGTCTCCAGTGACTCATTTCCCCACTCCAGAGGCAAAAACATCACGAGATTCTTGAGTGTGCTTAGAGAGATATTGATACACCCGTTCTGCAGGGTGTTTTCATTCCCTTAACTATATATTTTAAAAATCACTCCATATCAATAAATAAAAGCATGTCTCTATTTTTCTGTTAGACATTGAATATTCACTTTATGGATATATCAGAATGACTGATATAATTGACTGATCTTTTACTGACAGTTATTTGGGTTGTAATTCAATCTTTTCTTTCTACAAATATTTCTGCCATAAATAGCCATATATATTTATATATATAACATTCTGCACATGTGTGCCTATCTGTAGGAAAAATTTCTTAAAAAAGCAATTGCTGGGCCAAAGAATTAAATGCCTTTGCAATTTTGGCAGACATTGCTACAAAGTTACCTTCCAAGGAAGCTGTCCCAATTTATGTTTTTCTGCCAAAGTGTGAGACCACGCAGCTGCAATTTCAAAGGAAAAAATATTCTTTTTTTTAAAGACCTATTTTTTTTATTTGAAAGGCAGAGTTACATGGAGGCAGAGGCAGAGAGAGAGAGAGGGAGAGAGCGAGCTCCATCCACTGGTTCACCCCCCTGATGGCTGCAGTAGCTTGGGCTGGGCCAGGAGAGAGAGAGAGAGAGAGAGAGAGAGAGCAAGCGAGTGAGCGAGAGAGCTCCATCCACTGGTTCACCCCCCTGATGGCTGCAATAGCTTGGGCTGGGCCAGGCTGAAGCCAGGAACCAGGTTCATCCAAGTCTCTCACGTGAGTGCAGGTGCACAACCACTTGGGCCATCCTCTGCTGCTTTCCCAGGCGTGTTAGCAGGAAGCTAGATAGGAAATAGAGCAGCCAGAACTTGAACCTGTGCTCATTTGGGAAGCCGGCACTGCAGATGGCAGCTTTACCTGCTACACCACAGTGCCGGCCCCAGAAAAAAGTATTCTTTAACTTGATAAATATTTCATGCTTCTTGATGTAAATTTCAGTGGTTATCTTGGACCTTAGGGCAATATCCTGGCAGATCTCGGAAAGAATTTGTGGTCTAAGTTCAGTTCCCACCAGGCCAAACTGGCATACTTTCCTGACCCTCTCTGCTCCTTTGACCTTTTTTCTGACTTGAGATTTTGCTTTGGATTCTGTTGCAGCTTCTTCCAGGCCTTCTCTTTCTTCCCTTGTGGCAATAGCTTTGGGGCTTCTGGCAGCAGTTCTTGCAAGTGTGCTGCTGTACCAGTGGATTTCGTGCCAAGGTAAGCGCTACCTAAAGCAAGTTTAATCTTTTATGTATCCATTTTAGATTATGCAATCAATATGACATAGGAGAAAATTTGAAAAATATAAAATAATCAAACAAAATAAATTACCAGCTGTATGCAGTTCTTTCGTAAGAAAAGTCTTTTCATCTTCAACTGCTTGGATTTGCATAAGGATTTATTTCCCATACAGAATTGTAATCAAGTTCTCTTAAAATCTCTCCCATCCTTTTTTACCCAAGCAAGATGGGAAGGAATTCTGATCACAGTATTCTTATAATTTTGCATATTGCTTTTTAATTTTATATTGTTTTATAAGCAGTTCCTACTTGCTACCATATTTATTGTGATAATTAAATTATAAAATAATGAGTTTTGACTTTTCACATAATATGTCATAATTTAATTAAGCATATTCTGACTTTTTAAATTGCCGTTTAGATGCATTGACGTTTTCTAGAACTCACTTTTCTAGGTTTAGCTTCTGCAAGTTCTTAAATCTGGTGATCTGGAGGACTCTTAAGTTTGTTTCTCAATCTAGGGTCCTAATTTAGGTTTACTTTATTGAGGGAGGATCGTTAGTGACAGGTTACACAGAAATGTTTTCTTAAGATTCTGAGGGTTCAGCCTCAGAACCGACAATAGAGCCAAGTTGTACCCTGGGCAGAAGGAGATTCACAGGGAAGTTGGGAATTGCTGACATAAGGTGGGTATGGAAAAATTACAAAGCTATAAGGTGCTAACCCAATCCAGCCTCCAGAAGCCTACACTGGTGCCACAGCAGGTCTCCCACGGAAGGTTATCTTATCTTTACATTAAGAGTATTGCTTGGCTGGCGCCGCAGCTCACTTGGCTAATCCTCTGCCTGTGGTGCTGGCACCCTGGATTCTAGTCCCAGTTGGGGTGCCAGATCTGTCCTGGTTGCTCCTCTTCCCGTCCAGCTCTCTGCTGTGGCCTGGGAATGCAGTGGAGGATGGCCCAAGCGCATGGGCCTTGCACCCGCATGGGAGATCAGGAGGAAGTACCTGGCTCCTGGCTTCAGATCGGCGCAGCGCTGGCCATAGCGGCCATTTGGGGGGTGAACCAATGGAAGGAAGACCTTACTCTCTGTCTCTCTCTCACTGTCTAATTCTGCCTGTCAAAAAAAAAAAAAAAAAGGATTGCTTTCCCCACCTTCCAACTCCCAAATCTACGGTAGATATGTAATCTCTCCTGCAGTTGTATATCTGCACATGCGCTGGCATGGTGTAATGGCTCTTAGTTGCTCCTATAAAACTGTGCTCACTGGGGAAGTTTCTGCAAATGTGTTTCATTGAAGTAGGAAATCAATAGAGTTGTGGAATCTTGGGTAGAAATGACCTCAAAAGCTAATTGATTCCCCTTCATTTTGACAGAACGGTAATGCAGAATTTTTAGAAAAAGTCAATTCGTATGAGTTACATTATTTATTTGTTTATTTTAAAGATTTTATTTATGAGAGAGAGAAAGAGGGAGAGATAGAGAGATAGCTCTCTTTCATCTGCTGTTTCATTCCCCAGATTCCATTTGGGTCTTCCACATGGGTGCAGGGGCCCAAGCACTTGGGCCATCTTCTGCTGCTTTCCAAGGCACATGAGCAAGGGGCTGCATGAGAAGTGAAGCAGCCAGGACTTGAACTGGCACCTGTAGGGGATGCCGGTGTCACAGGCTCTACTTGCTACATCACAATGCCAGCCCCGTAATACAACCACTTTAAAGAAAAGAGGTTCTTTTCTGTTTAAAAGAGCTTAGTAAGGAGAATTCTATCACTTTGCATGTAGCATCTGATATATTTGTCTTTCAGATTAAAAAAAAATCTAAACTAAATTCTTTTTGTTGAAATATAAGTATTTTTATTCAATGCCCATGTGATAATCACATCTGTGATAACAAAAAGGTATAAGCTTCCACTCTAGTGAAGTTTGTTCTTTCTAGTTTTCTTCCTTTTCTTGTCCACCATTGAGGGGTATGAGGCTGAGGTTGGCATTCTGAATGATTCTGCCTGATTTAAGCAGTGTACGTCATGAAGCTACACATTGTATGTGCTGAACGTATATGGACAGGACACGGGTATGTATCCTGCGAAGGCAGTTACTTTATCTGGTATGTATATGCCGCATGGGCATAGAAGTCTCTAGCACAGTGATGTGCTCCATAGCCTGCAGGCAGATTGTACATTGTTTTCCTGGCTCCCTTGGTCATGGTCACATCCTTGCTTTGTGGAATGCACATTAGTTGGGATGGAGTTGGATGTTATGAGGAATTCAGTTTGCATTACTCTGAGCCTTAATCTGAAAGGTGATGGAGCAGGGAAGATGCTGGGACTACCATATTCCCTTTCATGTGCCGTATAACTTCCAAGACCAAGTTGTGCATAAAGATGTGAACCAAGTCCTCTTCCTTTCTAGGCTCCAATCCCTCCACTTGTGTCAGCTGCTCTGGCTGCCCAGACCTCTGGATGGGATATGGGAACCACTGTTACTATTTCTCGGTGGAGAAAAAAGACTGGAATTCTAGTCTGAGATTCTGCTTGGCTGAAGACTCACATCTCATTATGTTTGCAGACGACCAGGAAATGGTAAATGCAAGCATTGAGAAATTGTAGCTGTGTGTGTGTGTGTGTGTGTGTGTGTGTGTGTGTGTGAATGCTGTTCAAACCTATCATGTGGCCTCCTTTGAGGAACAAAAAGGATCCTGGGGGAAGCTGTCCCCCTCCCTCTCTTCTTTCCTCTTTTTTCCCCTCATCATCCACCCTGCCTTCTTCTCCTTTCTCCACTATTTACTCTTACACTGACCAACCTAAGAATTCTCAGTTAGAGCAAGCCAGAAGCTTGCACAGCTCTGTGTGTGTGTGTGTGTGTGTGTGCCCATGTACATGCGCACATGTGTATATTGGAGGTGGGAGAATGACGAGTATAACAGGGAGGACTTAGACCTAAAATACAGATCTAACTAAATGAAGCCTTGAGTCCAGAAACATCCAGGTTCAACGAGGAGGAAGCAGATTTCTATACATGAGCCATAGAACTTGAGAAAGAGAGGAAAATGATCATAGGGACAGAGACTGTGATCATTCATTGGAATTAAATAAGTTCCAGATTGAGAAACAATGTGCAGAAAGTTGGGATGGAAGGAAGGAGACTGTGTGTGTGTGTTCTTAAATATCACACAAATCTCACCGGGTGGGGTTTCACCTCCTGCAGGCTCTCAGATCCCTGCCCACAGTGGGCTCTTGGAGAACTCTGTTAGTTCTAGGGCATCTCAAGGTCATACAAGGAATTGATATTCTGGGGACACTTAGAACAAAAGTCAATCAGATTTTCATTTGTCAAAGTAAATAACACATATGAAGAAAGCAAGAAATTCTAGTTTGGTTTTTAGTGCAAATTTCATACATTTGGTGTTTTGATATCGGTATTTCTATTGGGTGGAATCAGCTCATGGAGAAGAGTTGATTAAGAATTCAGCCCTACAAACATCCCTTGGGAAAATGCAGAGAGGTAATTACTCTAAAGCAGTTGGTGAGAATATATAATCCTTAAGTGCTAAAACTTCTTATTTTAAGAAAAGATTAAAGCATCTAGATTCTTGTTTTCTGGCAAAACAACACTCATCATTTGAAATTATGGGTAGAATCTAAACTCCAAATATTTCCACCTCTGTGACTTCTTTTCTTTTATGCTCTTCCTCAGCTGGGTGGCAGCATGCCATGGGGCCTATTGCTTAGACACAAAATCGTAGTGTTATGGCCTGCGGTAGTAATCGCCTGCTTTCTGCACCTTCTTGTGGAAACTATATTCATTCTGACATAGCTGCTTTGGAGGACTTGAGCTGACTGAAGTCAATAGCAGAAGTGGGCAACATTGCTTGGCAAGTACTGACACCCCGGAGTAGCGAGTCATTATGCGAGACATTGCCACAGTAGACTGTGTAACGAGTCGAGTGTGGAAAGGATTAAGGTGCGGATTTTCTGGGGATTGCAGTATTTCTGCTTCTCTGAGGTACCCAGAGGCAGTGAAGGGTGTTAGAGGAGTTTTGTCCTTTTCTCTCCTTCTGTTTCCTGGCTTTTGCATCTACTGTTGTGTAAACTGAACAGAGTTAGATTGGTTGAATTTCCACAGTGGGTTCATTTTCTCTTAAGACTCCTTGGTTTAAGTCAGTACTGGAGAAAGCAGAATAATCAGATAGTTTTTTTTTTTTTTTTTTTTTTTGACAGGCAGAGTGGACAGTGAGAGAGAGAGACAGAGAGAAAGGTCTTCCTTTGCCGTTGGTTCACCCTCCAATGGCCGCCGCGGCCGGCGCACCGCACTGATCCGAAAGCAGGAGCCAGGTGCTTCTCCTGGTCTCCCATGGGGTGCAGGGCCCAAGCACTTGGGCCATCCTCCACTGCACTCCCTGGCCACAGCAGAGAGCTGGCCTGGAAGAGGGGCAACTGGGACAGAATCTGGCGCCCTGACCGGAACTAGAACCCTGTGTGCCGGCGCCGCTAGGTGGAGGATTAGCCTATTGAGCCATGGCGCCGGCCAATCAGAGAGTTTTAATAGCATCCACAAGTAAGTTTATTTCTTTTAAAAAATCTTTCTTTATTTGCATTTTATCTGAAAAGAGGTAGGGAGGGAGGCAGGGAGGGGGAGAGAGAGAGAGAGAGAATGAGAATGAGGCAGAGAGATCATCCGTTCACTTATTCACTCTCCAAATGCATACAACAACCAGGGATGGGTCAGGCTACAGCTAGGAGCCCAGGACTTCATCTGGTCTCCCATGTGTGTGGCAGGGACCCAAGTACTTAAGCCATAACTGCTGCCTTCCAGAGTGCACATTAGTAGGAAACTACATGGGAAGTGGAGGAGCCGAGTTGAACAGGCACTCCCATGTGAGATGTGGGTGTCCCAAGTGGCAGTTTAATCACTGAACCAAATATTTACCTCAGGTTTTACCACGCATATTCCTGTGAGATTGTGCTTGTTTCTCTCGTTTTATTTTTTTTTCCTTGCTCCAGCTTTTGTCAACTTCTATAGAAGCAAATTGACTTATATCTGATCTGCTGAGTCTCTTGACCTAGTATTGTTATTCTTTTGTTCCCAAGGTAAATTTTATACAATATTTTGATTTATGTGTGATATTCTCGGTATCATGCTTGAGTCTGAATGAAAAGAGGATATAAAAAATTTAAGTGTTAAATGGACCTAAATAACTGGAGTTATTAAAACTGGTATTCTATTATTGGAAAATATCACTAGAGAATTAGGTTATTAATTCTCTAGCAGTTCATGGAAAAATGGAATTAAAAGATAAATTTTGGTCTAAAAAATTAGAAATCCATGCAATTTTTTTTATAATATGCATTTTCCATGAAATTTCTGAAGACCTCTAGTAAATGCTAGAGGCTACAAGCCTATAAAATATTAATTATAGGGACTGGTGCTGTGGCGCAGGGGGTTAAAACCGTGGCCTGCAGCACTGGCATCCCATATGGGCACTGGTTCAAGTCCCAGCTACTCCACTTCCAATCCAGCTCTCTGCTATGGCCTGGGAAAGCAGTGGAAGATGGCCAAGTCCTTGGGCCCCTACACCCACGTGGGAGACCAGGAAGAAGCTTCACTCCTGGCTTCGGATCGGCTCAGCTCTGGCCATTGCGGTCATTTGGAGAGTGAACCATTGGATGGAAGACCTCTCTCTGCCTCTCCTTCTTTGTGTAACTCTGACTTTCAAATAAATAAAATAAATCTTAAAAAATTAATTTATTTTCAAGTAATGTGTGCTTTTATTCAATTTCTAGACATGTTTTCAGTTGAAATACCTCTAAATTGAAATCAGGAGATCAAATTGTTTTTAGACTTATGAATACTCTGTATTGTACTTTTTTTTTTTCATTTGACAGGTAGAATTAGACAGTGAGAGAGAGAGACAGAGAGAAAGGTCTTCCTTCCGTTCCCAGTTTGTGTGTGTGTGTGCTAACTGTTGAAATCTTTACTTAGTATAGAGTCTTCTGTGTATAAAGTTAATTGAAAATGAATCTTAAAAGAGAATGGGACTGGGAATGAGAGGGAGGGAAGCGGTGAGGTGGCAATGAGGATGGAAGGGTGGATATGATGGAAAGAATCACTATATTCCTAAAGTTGTACTTATGAAATTTGTACTCATTAAATAAACGGTTTCTTTGGGGGAAAAAACCCTAATTTCTTCTTTGTGACTTAATCTAAACTGGATTGTCTCCTTGAGGATTCCTCCAGATACCATCACACTGGGGGTTAGGGCTTCAACTTACACATTCTGAGGAGGAGACACAACCTTTCAGTCCTTAACCTTGGTGATCAGAGAGGGAGTAAGGAACCATTGTTTGGCTATGACACTGGAACTCGTTGGTTTTCTCATCTTCCTTACCCTTCTTCGTCATGTTCAATCTCTCCCTTAGCAACTACTCAACAGGTTCCTCAATCAGGACTTCCATTGGATTGGTCTGCGGAAAAATGACAGCTGGAGGTGGGAAGATGGGTCAGTTCTAAACTTTTCAAGGTGAGGGGCTTCAAAGGGATGCACACAAAAATGAGAAATAAGGAAAAGGGAAGAAAAATCATGTGGCTTGGGAAATAAGTTGAGGAGAATACATGGGGAGGAAAGAGGGATAAGGAGAAGAAGGAGGAAAGAAGGGGAGGAATGCACAGTGGGCGGGGAAAATAAAAGAAATGGTGGCATTTTCAAGAGAGCTAATGGGCAATTTTGGTTTTGCTGCTGCTTTGGGAGTGGAAAGGCCTGGAAAGGGAGAAAGATTTTCTCAACTTTTATCCCTTCATGCCTTTGACTCCTTTCCAGTGCATGTCACCTCTGATGACTGACTTTTCTGATTTCTTGCAGGATTATTTCTAGTAGCTCAGTACAGAAATGTGGTTCTGTCAACATGTATGGTCTCCAAGCCTCTAGCTGTGAAGTTCTCTTACGGTGGATCTGTAGGAAGGTCAGACTTTGATGACAACCACCCTGCCCTGACCCTCAGATCCACCACATCTCCCTGCGAAGAGAGAACTGGCTGCTGCCATAATGTGTCCTCTGGGAGTGCTGAAGCTACTCAGATACGGTATTAGATGCAAGGTTAATGCAGCTTCTGGGGATCGGTGATTTACTGCTGAGTTTCCTTTGAGATTCCTTAGATATGAGCAAGTTAAAGACCAGATCTAGGCAAATTTGTGAAATAGATTGACATTTGTATTAGTAATTCTTGTGCTAGAGATGGATGCTGTTTCCCTCATCACTGCCCCCACTATCTCTGTAAAAAATATACCTTTTTCTGTTATGTTCTAAGCCAAGCCAATGCAGCATGTGAAAGTATTCACTCTTGCTAATGAACTAGAGGAATTTTATGTGTACTGATGCGTTGGCATGTTACTTCTTGATCTTGTATTTTTATTCTAACCATGACCCTTTCCAGTTAATGCTTTATTCCAAAGAATAGTGCTCATGTGGAGAACATAGATTGCTGAGAGCGTGAGAAGACAGTGGCGCTTCTGCTTCTCAGAGCTTCACACTTACATGAAGACTTGCTTCACTGATTTTGGCTTTTCTGAGCATGCAAAGGTGTGGCTGAATAAACCAATGTGTGATGGCATCTTTGCTATGCTCTGAATGTGTGATTTGTGTATTAATTTCGCGACAGTGGTCAATCTGTTAAGGCATTTTCATAGATGAAGTTTATAGAACTAGATTATGTGGTTGAGTCCCCCAAATTCTTTTAGACACTAATGCCTCAAAACAAGATAAATTTTATTACTTCTTCTTTGTAGAATTTGGACAGATGTAAGGAGATAAAGTGCAGTTTAACTTTTTTTTTATTATTATTTGAAGGCAGAAATATATATAGAGAGAAAGAGAGAAAGAGAGAGAGAGAGAGAGAGTGCAAATGCTCTCATCTCCTTGTTCACTCCCTCAAATGTCAGAAAGGGCCAGGCTGGGTCAGGCCAAAACTGAGAGCTGGGAACTCAATATAGATCTTCCACATGGGTATCAGGGACCCAACCACTTGAGCCATCACTGCTGCTTCTGTGACTGCATTTGCAAGAAGCTGGAATCAGGAGTGGAGCTGAGAGTCAAAGTCACACCCTCTGATGTGGGACACGGTGTCATTTTTTTTTTTTTTAATCAGAACTACAGAAAGAATGGGAGAGACACACAGAGAGATTTTCCACCCACTGGTTCACTCCCAAGATGGCCACAATTTTTGGAGCTGGGCCAGGCTGAACCCAGGAAGCAAGGGCTTCCTCTGGGTCTCCCACATGGGTAGCTGGGACCCCAGCACTTGGGCCGACTTCCTTTACTTTTCCCAGGCCATTAGCAGAGACTGGATTAGAAGTGGAGCAGCTGGTACATGAATCAGTGCCCATATGGGGTGCCAGAAATGCAGGTGGTGGCTTTACCTGCTATGCCACAATGCCAGCCCTAGGACACAATGTCTTAATGGCTATGCCAAATGCCCACCCCAGGAAGTTTTGTTCAAAGGTATAACAGGCATATTGAAGGAGACCATAATTCTGTAGATTTGATGACACTGGATAGTAATCTATTTACCCTTGTCTTTCAAGTTTTTTCTTTTTAAATTTATTTGAAAGGCAGAGTTATAGAGAGAGGAGAGAAGAGGGAGAAGGAGAGAGAGGGAGATCTTCCATCTGCTGATTCATTCCCCAAACAACCACAGCAGCCAGGCTGGGCCAGGCCAGAGCCAGGATCCAGGAGCTTCTTTGGGGTCTCCCATGTGAGTGCAGAACCCAGGCACTTGAGTCATCTTCTGCTCTTTTCCCAGGCGCATTAGTAGGGAGCTGGATTGGAAATGGAGCATCAAGGTATTGAACTGGTACCCATATGGGATGCCGGGGTCACAGGCAGAGGCTTAATCTGCTACGCCACAATGCCGGCCCCTCAGATGTTTTTAAGACATAGACTACTATGTCTATCTACCACTGTAACCCAAACACTTAAGACAGTACTTACCTTAGTGGAAATTAGATAAATGTATGAATACAAAACAAGAATTTACAAAGATTTGTTCTAGTTTTTCCTATTAGCTCATAAATTAGAGGGATTAAAACAGGAAAAAGTTTATCCTAATTCTCTCTAATCCACTCATAAGAGCACTTAAGAGTTGACTATAAAATGCAAAGGCCCAGTTTAATCTGAAATTAGGCTCACAGAAGGAAGTGGTGGAAACAAAATCTCTGCTCATGTTCTCTCTCTCCCTCTCTCTTAAACATTTATTTATTTATTTATTTGAAAGGCAAAGTTAGAGAGAGAGAGGGAGAGAGAGAAAGAGAGAGAGAGAGAACGAGCCTCAACAACTGGGGGCTGAGGCAGGCTGAAGCCAGGAACCCAGAACTTCATGTAGGTCTTCCATGTGGGTGGCAGGAGCCCAAGTACTTGGGTCACCCTCAACTACCTTCCCAGGTGCATTAGCAGGGAGCTGGGTCAGAAGTGGAGTAGCTGGGACTGGAACTATTGCTCAGATGGGACGTCAGCATTGCAGGCAATGGCTTAATCTGCTGTGCCCCTCTTGTTCTGGGGCAGGAATATTCCTTAGTTATGGATATGATGCTAGTGACTCCCAGTTTGTTAGGAATGAAATAATAGTGACTCCGGGTCTCCCTCCCTTGGGACCCACCTCAACTTGAATAAATCCCATTTTTCTTTTTTTTTATTTTTTTTTTTATTTTTTTTATTTTTTATTTATTTTTTTTTATTTTTTGACAGGCAGAGTGGACAGTGAGAGAGAGAGACAGAGAGAAAGGTCTTCCTTTGCCGTTGGTTCACCCTCCAATGGCCGCCGCGGCCGGCGCGCTGCGGCCGGCGCACCGCGCTGATCCGATGGCAGGAGCCAGGAGCCAGGTGCTTTTCCTGGTCTCCCATGGGGTGCAGGGCCCAAGCACCTGGGCCATCCTCCACTGCACTCCCTGGCCACAGCAGAGGGCTGGCCTGGAAGAGGGGCAACCGGGACAGAATCCGGCGCCCCGACCGGGACTAGAACCCGGTGTGCCGGCGCCGCTAGGCGGAGGATTAGCCTATTGAGCCGCGGCGCCGGCCCCATTTTTCTTTAAAACAAAAAATAATAGTGACTCCACTTGGGCAATGGCTTGGTTTCTGTGGGGTAAATGATTTCATTTATTTATTCAAAGACAGATGGAGTGGGCCCTTTAATTCTCGCCCAAGCAGGCAAGGTGTGCTCAGCTGTCCTCTGTGGACAGAGTTCAGTTCTCCTGACTTGATTTATTTTTCTGTCATCAGAATTGGATCTAGTTCACTGCTTTGTCTCCCATAAGGATGTTAGAACAGAAGTAACTGCTTATTTCTCATTTATTTATTCCTCTGGTTTATTTACTAGTGGTTAGGACTAGTTGACGCAAATTTTCTATCTTGCCTGGTGAAGTAGAGTTTGAATAAGCAGTTAATTTTTTTCCTTGAGCTTTGCTGATTCCTTTGATGAGCATTATAAAAAATAAAAGACATTAAAGATAAAAGCTTGACAAAACAAAAATAAAAAAATTCAGAGAGGGAAAATCCTCTGTCAAGGTCACAGCTTGCTTTCTGTCTCTAAATATATATCTGAGGGCTCAGTAAGAAAAGTAAAAATGAGATTGCATAATCTTTTTAAAAAAATATATTTGTTTGGAGTTGGCACTATGGCGTAGTGGGTAGGACCGTCGTCTGCAGTGCCGGTGTCCCATATGGGCACCGGTTCGAGTCCTGGCTGCTCCACTTCTGATCCGGCTCCTTGCTATGGCCTGGGAAAGCAGTGGAGGATGTGGTCCAGGTACTTGGGCCCCTGCATTCCCGTGGAAGACCTGGAAGAAGCTTCTGGCTCCTGGCTTTGGATCAGCACAGCTCCGGCCATTGCAGCCATTTGGGGAGTGAACCAGTGAATGGAAGGCCTCTCCTTCTCTCTCTGTGTAACTCTGACTTTAAAGTAAATAAATAAATCTTTGAAAAGCAGAGTGAGAGAGAGAGAAAGAGGGAGAGACAGAAAGATAGACACAGATTTCCATGTGCTGATTCACTCCCCGAATGGCTGCAAAAGCCAGGGCTGGGCCAGGCTGAAGCCAGAAGCCAGGAACTCTGTCGTAGGTAGCAGAGGCCCAAACCACCCAGACCATGCTTTGATGCCTTCCAAGGCACATTAGCAGGAAGCAGAGCAGAAGCAGAGCAGCCAAGACTTGAACATGCTCTAATATGACATGCCAGCATCACGAGCAGCATCTTAACCTGCTGTGACACAGTGCTGGCCCCAATCTTCGAAATGTAGCAAAAACTTAAACTCTTATCCATTTTGTGTTTAATTATCTCCTCGTACTTTAAAAAGCACTTTTTTGGAGGTTAGGTATAAAGATTAATCAAATGCCTCAGTTTGTGGAGTCAACATCTGGAACAGTCCATTATGTCTGTCTCACATTTTGTTTACTTGTGTTCTCCTTCCTGTATGCCCCCTTATCTTCCTCTTTCCTTCACAGGAACATACTTGTTTGCATTCCTATAAAACTTGTAGCTTTCTTATTTGCCTCACATTTAATGAAATAGTTTAAAAACAGTTCTTACTGTTCTGCTTTTTTTTCCACTAGCATCATCTTCTTGAGGTCTAGACATGTGGTTCTCTGCCACGTGTGTAAGTCATACTTTCTGCTGCCGCAGTCTCCGCTTTATGTACTCGCTCTCTCTCTCTTTTTTTTTTTTTTAATATTTATTTATTTATTTGAAAGTCAGTTACACACAGAGAGAGAGGTAGAGAGAGAGAGGGGTCTTCCAACCGATGGTTCACTCCCCAATTGGCAGCAATGGCCGGAGCTGGGCTGATCCAAAGCCAGGAGCCAGGAGCCTCCTCTAGGTCTCTCTTGTGGGTGCAGGAGCCCAAGGACTTGGGCCATCTTCCACTGCTTTCCCAGGTCATAGCAGAGAGCTGGATTGGAAGAGGAGCAGCCGGGACTAGAACCGGTACCCATATGGGATGCCAGTGCTTCAGGCCAGGGCGTTAACCTGCTGTGCCACAGCGCCGGCCCCTGTACCCATTCTCTTAATGATGGACACCTAGCTGGCTTCTGAATCCCCAGATCCACAAGCAATACTAGGATAAATATTCTCTGCACATTCCTGTTTCCAAGTCTTCTTCATTTCTGGACACAGCACTACTCTGCTCCACTTGTTTAAGACTCCAACCAAAGAGCTTTCTGATTTCTTTCTTTCTTTTTCCCTCTTGATTGTGGCACAATGGATGTCCAACAACTGGGAAGAATTTACAGAGTAAAGTTTGATACATTTTGATGTGCATGCAGCTGTGAAACCATCACCATAACCAAGACAGAGAGTGTGCCAAAGGCTCCTATGCTCTACTTCCTGTCACTGCAGATTAGACTGCATCTTCAACAGTTCTAGAGTACATAGAGGTTTTTTTTTTTTTTTAGATTCATTTTATTTATTTGAAAGGCAGAGTTAGAGGAGAGAGAGAGAGAGAGAGAGAGAGAGAGAGAGAGAGAGATCCTCCATTTGCAGGTTCACTCCCCAAATGGCCACAACACTCATGGCTGGGCCAGGCCAAAGCTGGGAGCCTGTAACTCCACCTGGGTCTCCCACATGGGTCACAGGAGCCCAAGGACTTGGGCCATCTTCCCCTATCTTCCCAGGAGCATTAGCAGGGAGCTGGATGGGAAAGTGGAGCATTTGGGACCCAACCTGATGTGCTGCAAGTCAAAGCCCTCGTACATAGAGTTTTACAGAATCTTAAAGTGTGCACACTTCCTCTCGCCAAGGCCTGGCTCCTTTCACTGAGATTCTTCCATGTTGTGGTATCAACACTCCTTTTTGTTGCTAAAATTCCACTATATGACTTTATCACCTTGTGTTTAGCCATTCATTTTTTGATGGACATTGAGATTGTTTCTAGTTTTTGGTTATTAAAAATAAAGCTGTCGTGATTTTCAAGGTGAAGCGAGCACTCGTTAGCATGAAATACCACAGAGCTGGAAAGCCAGTAAAGAAAGAGGGGAGCAGGCCGGCACCGCGGCTCACTAGGCTAATCCTCCGCCTTGCGGCGCCAGCACACCGGGTTCTAGTCCTGGTCGGGGCGCTGGATTCTGTCCCGGTTGCCCCTCTTCCAGGCCAGCTCTCTGCTGTGGCCAGGGAGTGCAGTGGAGGATGGCCCAAGTGCTTGGGCCCTGCACCCCATGGGAGACCAGGATAAGTACCTGGCTCCTGCCATCGGATCAGCGCGGTGCGCCGGCCGCAGCGGCCATTGGAGGGTGAACCAACGGCAAAGGAAGACCTTTCTTTCTGTCTCTCTCTCTCACTGTCCACTCTGCCTGTCAGGAAAAAAAAAAAAAAAAAAAAAAAAAAAAAAAAAAAAAAGAGGGGAGCATTCAATCAAAATGACAATATAGAGATCATTGTTCATCATTCTTCACTGGTATGATGTTGGTAGGTGAAATTTCAGTGAGCTGACAAATGAATAGAAGATAAGGAAGTGGAAACATTGAGTTTAGAAAATTCTTTTGAGAAGTTTGGTTATGGCAGGAAGTAACGAGATAATATCTCAACAAGGAGTTCTATGTTGGGTCACCATATTTTAAAATGTAGGTGGGAAAGAGTGTCACATATTTATAACTAGAAGTAAAAGGGAGAGTTGAAAGGGAGAGACTCAAAATCACGCAAGAGACAGGATGTTTAATAGACAGTAAATGCATGTGAGACCCAGTGTGCATCTGGAAGGAGTGAACTTGAATGCAGAGGACCCCCTTCCCCCTGGAAGGAGGAAGGCTGGGTGAGGATTGGTGAGCTTCATTGTCTCAGTGAAATGAAAGACAAGATCATGTGCTAAGAATGAGGGAGGAAACGAGGGGTTTGAGGTCATGTGACAGCTGAATTTTGGGATAATCATCAAAAGAAAAGAGGACCCTCTGCCTTGAGACACAACATTGCTGGGAGCCACCTAGCGCCCAGGAGAGGAAGGAGGCTGCACATTGCTAGCAATTTTGATATTGGACTGTGCTTTTCTCAGGTCTGATGGTCCCTTTATTCCCCCTGGCGCTCTAAACTCAAACACCTCTTGCTGTGTTTACTCACTCTTTTCTTACAGGTTTCCTCACACTGTGCGTTAACAATGGATCTAATCATACACATATTTTTAAGTTCCTGCCTTCTTAGGAGAGCTACGACAAACACCATTGCACTGTGCTGGCTGATACCAAGTCCTTCCAATGAGAAATTGCCATGCCCAGATTTTGCCTACCAGCTGCCCCTTGCCTAATCCATGGCAATTTTCCCCAGACCCCTGCTCAGGGAGTCAGATCTGAGCATCACTCCTGACTTTGTACTTGGCGACCTTGTAATAACCTTGCTCTCTGCAAAAGATCATGGCTTCTGTATTTTGGCCTTTTGATGCATGTGGGCAAACGGATTCATCTGGGTTTGGTAACAGCTGCGGTCTGTTGCTATGGCGTGATTCTTGGCCACAGCCTGTATCCAATTAGCTGTAGTTACTTCTACGAGGTCAAAAGGTAAGAACAATGAGGAGTGGGGATTTGGTAGGACTTTTCAGGGAAAGGAAACACATGTAAGAAATAGACGTAGCCAGAAGTAGACAAGAAACCCAAATAGTAGGCGCCCTGAAATGAGGAACATGTTGGATAGGAAAAGATTTGGGAGTCATTGTGTAGGAGATGAAATAAAATGCTTTAGTTAACATTTTTGTACATGTGCCTGATTTCTCTAAGATTCCTAAAAGTAGAATGGATGCCAAATTAAGAATTTTTAAAAGCACTGCCAAGTTATTATTATTATTTTTTGGCAGGTAGAGTTAGACAGTGAGAGAGGGAGAGAGAGAGACAGAGAGAAAGGTCTTCCTTTTTCCGTTGGTCCACCCCCCAAATGAGTGCAATGGCTGGCACACTGCGCCAATCTGAAGCCAGGAGCCAGGTGCTTCCTCCTGGTCTCCCATGTGGGTGCAGGGCCCAAGCACTTGGGCCATCCTCCATTGCCTTCCTGGCCCACAGCAGAGAGCTGGACTGGAAGAGGAGCAACCGGGACAGAATCTGGCGCCCCAACTGGGACTAGAACCCAGAGTTCCGGCGCCGCAGGCAGAGGATTAGCCTAGTGAGCTGCAGTGCCAGCTTGCCAAGTTATTTTTTAAAAAAGCTGAAGTGATTTTACTTCCAGTAGCAATGGAGGAGGGTACAGGCGGTCCTCCCCCTTCTCAGCGCCTCAAGCTCCGAATGGCCTACATTTTGGGTTTTTATCGTTTGCAGGGAGGAGGAGTGACATATTTTCGTTCTAGTTTCTGCTTTTCTGGCTTCTGTTATCTTTGAGCATCTTCTCAAGTGAGTTATTTGTATTTCCTCTGAGTCACGTATTCTTATCTTGTGGCCATTTATTGTCAGGTTTTTAACTGTTTTTTTTTTTCTTTTTCTTATCAATCTGTAGGCACTTTTTGCACATCAGTGATAATAACTCCTTGTTAATATGTGTTACAAATGTTTTCTGTTATTTTTTCATTTAAACCTTATGAAAGGTTTTTTGTTTATATTCATATACTTTAAATAAAGAGTTATGTATTTTTAAATTGACAGGTAAGAATTGGATATACCTATTGTGTACATGTTTTGAAATATGTGTATGTTGTGGAATAACTAAATTGGACTAATTAACATGCATCATCTCACATATTTATCATTTCTTTGTGATGAGAACACTTAAAAATCCACTCATTTAGCAATAGTTATAAGTAGTTTTTAAAAAAGATTTATTTATCTATTTGAAAGTCAGAGTTACACAGAAAGGGACAGAGAGATCTTCCATTGGCCTGGTTCACTCCCCCAGATGTCTGCTATGGCTGGGGCTGAGCCAGGCCAAAGCCAGGAGCCAGGAACTCCAACCCAATCTCCCATGTGGGTGGCAGGGATCCAAACACCTGGGCCGTTTTCTGCTGCTTTCCCAGGTTCATTAGCAGGGAGCTAGATCAGAAGTGGAGCAGCCAGGACTGGAACCAGCAGCCATATCAGAGGTGGGGTGGCAGGTGGTGCCTTTACCTGCTATGCCAGGATGCCAGCCCCTGTTCAGCACTTTTTAAGAATACTATTCACTGTTATTCGTTATAGCCACCATGTTGTCCAGAAGCCTCTTAAACTTATTTTTCTTATCTAACTGAAGATTTCTATTCATTGACCAATTTCTCCTCCAGACATTGCCCTACCCTACTACTTTGAAGTCAGAACTCATTTCCCCTACCCCCATGGTTAGATTCTAGAGTTCCACCCAAAATCGCTTGCCTGGAAGTATACATAAATTATTCCAAAATGCTTTCGTGTAAGTTTATATATTTTATTTTACTTAAAAAAAAATTTTTTACTTTTATTTTACTTTCAACCCTTAACTCATTCTTGCTGTTGTGAGTACTGTTACAACTCAAGGGTGGAGAATCTGGTGACTACGTGGTGGGCGGAAGTGCTGGATCCCTGTTAGGGAGAAGACTGAGACAAGGAGGAGGAAGAGGTGGGTGGCCAGATGGCAGATGCTGGGATGAAGCCATTCCCCCCACCCCCAACTTGAGATGAAATGCAGTCCTGTGCCTCTTACTAGTGTCCCTGTCCACTAGGACCTCATGGGTGACAGCGGCCTCAGGCGGAAGCTGAAAAATCCCTATTGACTGGTGACGTTTCCAACACATTACTTACCTGTGTATAATGGCGCTGGCGTGAACATAACTGCTGCTCTGCCAGTTGTACCCGAGTGTAGCAGTCGGGCAGCTCCAGGGCCTTGAGAGGAGCCGCCGAGTCGCCCCTTGCCCACCCTCCGGCCCTCACTCACCCCGACCCGCGGCCGTGGCCCCGCGCAGCCCCCAGGACTCCGCACCGCCGCCGCCGCCCTCTCCGCGCCGCGCCGCCCGCCACCGCCTCTCCGGCCACAGAGACCGCGATCGCGGCCGGGGACGCCGCCCAGAGGGCAGCGTGGCCACCGGACCTACGTACCCGCCTTGCTCACTATTTTTATGAGTGTATAACTAATAACTTTTTGTCTATAAAAGAATTTTAAAGAGACGTCTTCAATTTGTATTTAATCGAAAGCAGCCGCATCTCGGGCCACTAAGGTTGTGACTTCGTTTCTAAGCCCCGCCCCCCTCCTTCGCTGACTTTGGGGTTTTCGGGGTCCCTGGCTGCTTCGGGCTCCTGAGGACCGCCCGGGCCCCCACATTCGTGAGGCGGCCCCCGGGCGAGTGTGACGTGGCTGTCCGCGGTGCTCCGCTCCCGCGCTTCCCCGCGTTCACGTGCGGCGCGGCGAGAGGGCGGAAGACACTGCGCCCCGCGGGAGCCCCATAACAGCTGGCGGGAGGAGCTCTCCCGCACGAAGCGACCTCCCCCGGCCGCCCCTACGCCCTGGCGGCGGAAGACTCGGGCCGCCGCCTCCGCGTCCTCCTCGGCGTCTGCCTCTGCATCGTCCTCCCCGCCATGCAGCGGTCTCGCTGGTGCGCGCTCCGCCTTGCCAGCTTCAGCCACCGGATCCGCGCGACCCGGGGGCGACCCGGGCGGCGGCCAAGCTCCCTGGCCTGGAGCCTGCGCCCCCTCCCACGGCTCCCTTCCAAGCTGGCGGACAGCCACGACTTGAGCCCGCCGGGCGGATTCCTGCGGCCGGGATTGGACCCCGTGTCCGTCCCGCTGCAGAGACCGCTACCGCCAGGTGTAAGGCTGAAGGCAGTGAGCGCCCCCGGCCGCGAGTACGGCAACCCCGCGTGTTCGTCCGTGTTAGCAGGGGCGGCTCTGGGGGCAACCGCCGGGCGTTGGCGGCGCCCCACAGCTCCCTAAAGCTAGCCGGAGGCCGTCAGTCGGCCCCTAGAGGCCCACTTGCGCAGTGGGCCCCTGGATCTCAGCCACGGCCAGCGGCCGACTGCACACGACTTCCCCCTGGGGCGACAGCTCTCCAGGAGGACTACCCCGGGCCCCCGGTCCCCGAGGAACTGCGGAGCAGCGGGCACTGTCACCCCGCCCTGTCGCTTCCTCCGGGCTTCCAGCCCCACCTCGGGCTCAACCATTCGCCCTTCCTGCCCGACCAGATGCAGCCGCAGGGACAGCCGCTCCGTCACCAAGAGCTCGTGGCATCCGGTTCCTGCCTGGCGGAGGAGTCCAAGCCAAAGAGGTGAAGGAGGTGGTGGCCGCGAAAAGGGATGGCCACCCACACTTCCGATTGCGCGGGCCAAAGTCCACGCAAAAACGTTCTCGTCTTCAGGCACACCTGCGAACCCACACAGGTGGGGGACAGTGCCGCTGTCACCGGCATGGCTTGTAGGTGGAAGTTGCTCCGATGACCCCACCGGGCATCGGCCGTTCCAGTGCCAGAGGTGCGCTCCGGCGTTTTTCGGGTCGGAGTGCTTCGCCTTACTCAAGAAGAGGCACTTTGAAATCCCAGCCAGTGGCCAGGACCCACGCTGCTGGAAGAGAATTCAGTATTTTTAGCCTTTGACACTGTTTTCCTGACGCGAGGGAAGCGCAGCCAGAAAGCACTACACTTTCAAGTTCCCAAGGAGTCAACTCCTGAATGGATAATCAGGAGAAAGGAGGAATCCAGAAGACAAAAATCTAAGGGCACGTGGGGTCTGCGGCCGGATCTTCTATCATTCCAATTCTAATTCAACTTGAGTATTTCTGGACTTAGACGGACTGCCTAGGGACTGACTGGAAGTTGTGGATATTAGGGTATCAAGAAGAGCCAAGCCTTGGGGCGAGGGAAGACCAGAATTGTCATGAATTGAGCTTTGGTGCAATGTAAGTACAAAGATCACCTTGTGTTCTCTTTGCCTTCTAAAAGCCATTGTTCCCATGTTAGACGAGGTAGAAATTCAGTTACAGAAAATGTGTGTGCATAGCAAGAATGAGGGTGCTTGGTGAGTCTTGGTGGTACAGGTGCCCAGTGAGGAAGCCTAAGTTCTTAAACTGCTGCCTGCTTTGACAAGGACAGTGTGTTGTCTTCTGATCTACATGTACGACCTAGCTCAGGTAAATACACCTACTTTAACTTCTTTAACATTTTGATGCACTGTAGCTTTAGATGTGCAATAATTTGTACAATGGTTTATTCCCAAGGATGACTTAAGCAGAACAAATGTTTTTATTATGTAGTTTCTTGCCTTGATAAATATGTAGTACAAAGTTAAGTAAACTTCTATTTTGTATGTTTGTAAGCTACGGTTAAAAAATGGAACATTTTGGATACACAAGGTGAGAATTAAGTTTTAAATAAACCTATAATATTTTGTCTGAAAAAAGTGCAGCAATGCAATGATAGCATATAATTCTTTATAATGATAATAAATGTGTCACTGGTTTATATATACTGTATTTTAATCATTGTTTTAGAGATGCTTTCTGCTTCTATAGAAATGACATGCTGTGAAACAGTATATCGTATGACACTGACAGCAGCCTCATACACCTTGTACTTGCCTTGTGTCATAGTTGAATCAAGGGGCCAGGTTGGGTACTGTACCATCCAGCTACACTCTGATGTGAAAACAGTGACAAAATTACCTCTGGTGTACTTCCTTGAACACATCTCTGTTCTTAAATGAAGTGTGACACTCTATAAAAATTTCTTTCTTTCTTTTTAAAAGTCTGTTTCCAAAGTGTCTTATCCCTACTTGAGAGCGATAGGAACACTGGGAAGAGCACCCATGAGTCAATAGACAAACTTGCATTTGAATTCTTTCTTCTAATACTTGCTGTGTGGCACCGGGCGAAATGCTTCCCAGCTCTGAGCCTGTGTTTAATCGTCCACTTGCTTGGTTCCTGGAAAGCTCTTTTCACAGTCTGTGACTGTTCCCTGTATGTTTATTTTGGAATAACCTGGTGTGTAAGAACTGGCCACCAAAGGCAGGTGTTGTGAGACCAAAGAAAGAGGACAGATCCAAGATGACATGGGCTTTCATTTACTGGGGGGACTCATGGACGGAAGTGTGGTCTTGGGCAACCACAAGACAATGGATCCTTGCAGTCTTGGTCAGTGTTAATGGGTTTGCATGTTAAGCTGGACAGAGACAGTCCCGGGCTCACCTAGGTGCTCCTGGACTTTCTCAAGAAATAGCAACAAACCAGGCATCAGATAAAGCCCTTTCTCAGGGCTTGGGATGACCTCTAGGGACACCTAAAGAGCAAGATGGTGATTATGTCCAAAGTGGCTGAAGTAATGTCAAGCAGAATCCCTACAGTGCTGCGTCCTTACAATCATTACCATGTTTTGAACATAGGCGTGCTCACAGTAGGAAATGAAAACGTTACAGAGGGTTCTATCAGGGAAAACAGAGTCTGCTCCCACCCCTGATGCCCCGCCCATCCACTTTCATTTCCTGGGGAAAAACACTGTTGACTTTTTGTGTGCCTTATCAGATATATTCTGCTTATATAGAATGATGTATAAGTACATTCTTATACAAATACACACATGTATTTAACTCAAGTCATAGTATAGAATAACGTTATTCCTAATATAACTTTTCCTCTGTTAACTATGTTTTGAATTTTCTATTTTTATCCTCATTAAAACTGCCTTTTTTTAAAAAAAAAAAAAAGATTTATTTATTTATTTGAAAGTCAGAGTTACAGAGATTAGAGGCAGAGAGAGAGAATGATCTTCCATTTGTTGGTTCACTTCCCAGACGGCCACAACTGGAGCTGCGCCAATCTGAAGCCAGGAGCCAGGAGCTTCTTCCGGATCTCCCACAAGGGTGCAGGAACCCAAGGGCCGGGGCCATCTTCTACTGCTTTCCCAGGCCTTAGCAGAGAGCTGGATCAGAAGTGGAGCAGCCAGGACTCGAACCGGCACCCATATGGGATGCTAACATTGCAGGTGGTGGCTTTATCCACTATGACACATGCCAGCCCCCATTTTTCATTTCTATATAAGATTTCATTGGATCAAATATTCCAGAGTTTCAAAAGAGTATGACAACCATTTATTTAGGAGCCCAGCTCCCATTTTACAGATGAGGTAATGGGATTCTAGTAGTGACTGCTGTATGACAGTTTGTGACAAAGCCAAGACAGAGGCCAAGCAGCCTGATTCCAAGGAGACAGTCTGACCCTGAATCTCTTCAGGCATACCATTATGGACATGCAAATGAGCTGGGTGTGAGTCAGGCAATGAGGGCATACAAACAAAAATGGATGGGAAATGGGAAACAGAATATTCTAGTGCATATCACTGCAACATCCACACCCGTGTTCCACCTTCCCTCTTATTGCCCTCTTACTGTCCACTTCCTTGGAGTCCAAGGGCATCAGGAATCGACTGCTTTCTAACTGTCCAGGGCGCTCAGGAGTTGACGCCTTTAATTTCTCCATCAGGCTTACCTAGTAGGGTCACAGTTCTCCTTACTGCCCCAGTCCCCTCTGCTCTGTAAATCACCATCTACATGGGAACTTTCTGTGCCATCACCCAGGATAGGTGACACAGCAAAGCCAGCAGCAGACACCGGAAGAGCTCCCTGTATGGCCTCTTGGCACAGGGGCTCAGATGACATTTCTTATAAGACATGTGTGACCTGGAAGATAGGGAAGCAGAGGTGACCAGGCCTAGGTCACAAACTTTTACCCCAAAAAATCTGGGCTAGAATCTGAGCCTGTTTCCCCTGACCCTGCCCTGTAGGCATAGCTCACTTTGACTCAGGCTTGTAAAACACATCAAAGGGGCTGCCACTGTGGTGCAGAGGGTAAACCCGTCACCTGCAATGCCGCCATCCTATATGGGTGCCAGTTGAGTCCTGGCTGCTCCACTTCCAATACAGCTTCCTCCTAATGTGCCTGTGAAAGCAGTGGAGGATGGCCCAAGCGCTTGGGCCCCTATACCCACATGGGAGACCTGAAAGAAGCTTCTGGCTCCTGGCTTTGGCCTGGCCCAGCCCTCGTCATTTTGGTCATTTGGGTAGTGAACTGGTCAATAAAATTTCTCTCTCTGTCTCTCTCTCTGTAACTCTGACTTTCAAATGAATAAATAAATCTTAAAAAAAATCCAAACCAAGTGCTTGGGCCCTGCACCCCATGGGAGACCAGGAAAAGCACCTGGCTCCTGCCATCGGATCAGCGCGGTGCGCCGGCCGCAGCGCGCCGGCCTTGGCGGCCATTGGAGGGTGAACCAACGGCAAAGGGCAAAGGAAGACCTTTCTCTCTGTCTCTCTCTCTCACTGTCCACTCTGCCTGTCAAAAATAAATAAATAAATAAATAAATAAATAAAAATCCAAAGACTGAAAACCCACATCTTAGCTGAGAGGTGTGTCGGGAGGCACATATGCAGTCTGCTTTCTCTTCTCCCATGTGCCATTACAATTAGAAGTGGGGCAGTGGGGAGGGGTGTTTGTTCTGGCAGATGCTTACATCCCATTTCTGACAGAGTACCTGAGTTCAAGTCCCTGGCTCCTGATAACAGCTTTCTGTAAAGTGCATCCTGGGAGGCAGCAGGAGATGGCTCAAACAATTGGGTCCCTGCCACTCACATGAGAGACATGGATCAAGTTCCCAACTCCTGGCTTTGGCCTGGCCTGCCCTGGCCATTGCAGGGCATTTGGTGAGTGAACCAGTGGATGGGCATTATTCCTCTGCCCTGTTCTCTGTCTCTGTCTCAAATAAGCTGCAATGTTGCTGGGGAAAAAAAAATGAAAGGGGAACTGACGCAGCAGAAGATGGCCTTTGGTACAGGCTGTCCACCCCAATCCTCCATGCCACCCCCACCCCCACCACCAGGGGCTGTAGCAAAATCATGCCATCCCCGGAATCAGGAGATCCTGCATGTCAATGGCCATGCCCATCAAAGGGATTGATGCTTGTTCCTTCTCCACCTTGTACTTCTTAGAAAAGTACAAAAATGAGGCCAAAGTGCTCATCTTAGGCCCATTTGATCCCCCTGGCCAAACCCTTTGATCTTTATCTCAACCTTCATGTTCCACAAACAGCAGGTCCTAGGCCTCCTTTTGTACTGTGTACTGACCGCCACAGCTCGAAGTCCATCTCCTGAGAGTCCCTTCTGGAATAACTGTTTCCGGGATGTCCATGTGCACCTTCAGGAAGCTGACTGTCCTCTGTCACTGGGTGCCAGATTAGTTTTGCTGGACCTAGGGAGAGCTATGTCACAGACCCTGATGACCATCATCCTAGACTAGTCTGGTCTCAGACCCATGAAGAGCTACTTGTCAGGGGTCAGAGGAAGCAAGACCAAGGAGGAATTGACCAGAGAGCATGGAGATGAGGCTTCACTAGGACCAAAGAGAAAGGAGTGCAAGAGAAAGCCTTGTTAGGCAGTGATTTCATTCTGGATGTGCGATTGGGCAGGGGTGGGTTGCCTGAGCTGCAGAGAGAGTCCCTGGCCATGGGAGAGGCACCAGTCCCAAGGCAGGGGCATGTTGAGCAGCAGAGGCAGCCAGTATGGGTGCAGTTGCCTGGCAGTCAGCACATAGCCTGCATTGTCTCACTCGTGCTGGGCTGCAGCTGTGAGTTGAGCTGTTTGAGGATGCTCTGCCCAAATTTAAAGGGCCTGGCAGCAATCCTGCCAGTGACTTTCAACTCAAGGCAGAGTTCTGGCATGCCTGAGGTCAGACAGTTCAGCAGGGACCATAGAATGAATTCCATAAACTGGGGCCAAGGCCTTCTGTAGCAAGTGCCTGCCTATATCCCCAAAGGCCACTGAGGGCTTCACAGATAACTCAGGAGGGGCAAGACTCTCTGAGGAAGAAGCACCACAGGGTGCTGCCTCCTCCCTTAGATTCCTGGTATGTGGCTC